GCAGGCTGAGGCTGAGGCTGAGGCAGGCTGAGGCTGAGGCTGAGGCAGGCTGATGCTGAGGCAGGCTGAGGCTGAGGCTGAGGCTGATGCAGGCTGAGGCTGAGGCAGGCTGAGGCTGAGGCCGAGGCTGAAGGCAGACTGAGGCGGAGGCTGAAGCAGGCTGAGGCTGAGGCTGAGGCAGGCTGAGGCTGAGGCAGGCTGAGGCTGAGGCTGAGGCAGGCTGAGGCTGAGGCTGCGACTGTGACTGCCGTTGCCACTGCGACTGTCATTGCGAATGCGACTACGACTGCGAGAACAGCAGAATTCTACAACTGGATTCTCATCTGAATCTTAAGGGGAATGCTTCCAGATATGCTCCTACACATCGCTGTTAGGTTGCTTTGCCGGGATAATTGGTTCCATGTCGTTGAATCGTAGGATTAATCTGGTTTGATCTGGTTTTAGGCCCTACATCGGGTTTGTTAGTTGTTGTTCGTTCTTGCGGAATCCTCCCAGGAGTTGCCTCCACAGAAGCCTGCCTTCTTTCCAGGCCGCCCTGCCCTGCAACCCCTGCTGCGCGACGCCCGCAGGCTCAGGAGTACCGCCTCTGGGTGCTCGACGAGTTCCGCAAGAGCCGCCTGCGGCTGCTGGTCTGCACCGACGTGCTGGGCCGCGGCATTGACATCCCCTCTGGAAGGCCAACAGGACACGGTACCCCGATGTGGTGAGGCTTCGGGCTGCGCACAGGCAGCCCCCCCCCACCCGTAGTCTGGCTGGCCACCACAGGCCCCGCGAGTAGCCCCAGTCCCCCGCCGAGTAGTCCAGGGCGGTCTCGACTCCCCGGCACCGCCTCCGGCGGCGCCCCTCGGGCGCTCAGGGTTGGGGTGTTGAGACCGCCCTGGACTACTCGTGGGGCCCTTTGAGGCCAGCCGGGACTACCTGTGGGGGGCCGTCTCTGCACAACCCGAAGGCTTATCATCCCCAAGCGTACAGTGGTTTGCGGAAGTTGTCGTTGGTTCTTGGAGGGTATGTTGCCTTGGGATGGCTCCTAGCAGCTGCAACTCACCCAGAGCTTTTCCAAGGGGGGCCCAGATCGTCCCGGACGGCCGCCAGAGGCCCGAGTAATGGCCCGCCCATAAGGCACAAGGAACCCGCCAGGAACCCCCCCCTCGCGCCCCGAACAAAAATGCGCCGGTCGTCTTTCGGTCCCCGAGGCCCCAGAAACCGCGCTGGAACCCGATCCCCAGCGCCAGCCCCCGAACCTGGAGCGCGCCTGGGAAGGAGGTGCGGGGGGGGGCGGGGGGTCCATCGCCAACCCGAGAAGTCCGCGCGCTCCTCCGATTGTTTCTGCGTGTGCTGCTATGGTTGGCCTTCTACCTTCGGTGTCGCACGTCGTCATCCACGAGATGGGCGCCATCGAGGAGTACGTCCATCGCATTGGTCGGACGGCACGGGGTAAGGACGCGCGCGGGCACGCTCTCGTCTTCTTCGAGTACTGGGAGAAGTACCCCGAGATGGCCTCCCAGCTCACCTCGAAGGAGAAAGAACTGCATAAGCATAAAACTGTCGGAGGTCCGAGCAGCAGATTTGTTGGATCCGATCCAAGAAATCCGTATCGAGCTCCGAGAGTTTATGTTCATGCAGCTGTTTCCTCTTCTATGATCGCGGTCCTCCGGGCCTCCAAACAGCCGGTGCCTCCGGAGCTGCAGCGCGTGGCCGACGAGGTGGCCTCTGGCAAGCGCGCGGCGCCGCCCAGGGCCGACGCGTGGTGGGGCGCCAAGCGAGCCCGCACGTGCTGATCGAGGCCGCCCAGATGAAGCCAGAGCAGGTGGGGACGCCGAAACAGGAGTCAGCGCTGGTGATCGTTTTATTCATTCGTTTGCCGATCGGCGCAGGGTCTCGCACCCCCCCTCCATCCATGGAGTAGAACTTGGCTGTTTTTGCGCCGGTTTCAAACAGGTGGAGTAAGCACGGGGGCCCCGCCTCCCCCCCCTTCCTGCTGAACACACGAATCGCCCCTTGCCGAAACGCTGAAAAAGAACACGTTCACTTGGCGGAGCGATCTCCTCGGATACTTTCAGGCTGGCCCGGGCTTGGAAGCCACGTGGCGCCGACTCTCTTTCCCCGCTGACCCGGTCTGGAAGCTACCTGGTGGCTGGTCCGGGTTCGTGAAGTGTCGGGCCGAACGAAAGGGGAGGATAGGGAAAGGGGGTGGTGGTACGAAATCTGCTGCATGCAACTGCTTTCGGCCCCACCGCCAGGCCCATTCCTCGATACATGGGCGCCTATCGGCGCCAGGAAGCGCAGGATGACCAGCTACGTGAGCTGATTCTAAACCCTACCCTTTTCTATCCTACGCTTTCGTTCCCCCCGAAAGTGGCCCTGGCTGACTCGGGTCGGCGCGTCCCCGAGGATCGCGTGGCATCGCCGATGTATCGGCGATGGGGTGCGATCCCCCGACACCATCAGCTCTGGCGCCATTTTGGCAGGCTCTGGCTGAGCCCGTGGCGTGTTTAACGACGGCGAGAGGGTGATGTTGTTTGTTCTCCAGCGGCGCGGTGGACAGTGGTGCGCCAGCGGCACGTAAGCCCACAGGTTTCGAGGTCCAGCTCGCGCCGCGCGCAGAACATTGAAAGCTTGCTGTGCAGGGCAGCGTGTTGGTGCGTGTGTGTAGTTGTGTGCTCTAGTTGGAGGGAGAGAGTGAGAGCGATAGGGAGAAAAGAAGAAAGAACGAGAAATAGAGAGATACTATCATATGTATATATACATAGACATGTATATAGAGAGAGGGAGAGAGAGAGAGAGAGAGATCACAGAGCATTGACAATGGTACCTTCCATTATTGCTCTGTTTCTGTCCTTAGCCCGCCGATTCCGCCAGCCAGATGTTGCAACTCTGACGCGCAATGACTTCGGCTCCTTACGTTGCATCCCCATGACTGACACCGGCTGCAACTCGGAGATGGGGGTAACAACAATACAACAGCACCATGAGCAGCGCCACCTCCTAGCTGGAGAGTCGAGATGCATCCAGAAAGATGCCGAAACTCGGCGACACCACACCATGACGGGGTCCTACCAATGTTCTTTGACGATGGTGGTGTTAGTGTGTTGGTGCCGTTTCCCTTCGTCCTTCTCAACTTCCACCCACGTCGCGTTCGGCATTCTCCTCAGCCTGCGTCTCCTGCGCAGGCTATGCCGTGAAGCACCCATGTCATGTCCAAGCACCTCTAGAGTTTTTCCCCTGGTCGTGTGGCAGCGCTGGATGGATGTGGGTATCGTCCTGCCCACTACGGCGTAGTGCTGGGAGCACGACTCCAACGCGGTAGACATCAAGGGTGTCCGCTGTTTGGTGTGGGTTTTGCTGCGTCGCATTCGGTTGCATGCGGTCGGTTCGGTTCGGTCCGTTGTCTTGCTTTTGCTGCGCTTCTGAGCTCGTTCTAGGCTGCCTGCGGTCTGTCGGGTCTGGTCGGCTTCGGTCTCGCTGTCACTTCGGTCGGTGTTCGGTTATGCTGTCGCCGTAGACGACCTTGCCTGTCGTAGTCGTCGTCGTCGCTTTCGAGGGCGGTATCGCTGTCCCTGCCACGTCGTCACCGCCACCGCCGCCGTCGCCCCCTCGGTGTCGTCCCTGGCGCCGTTGTGGTGGTCGTCGAGCGTCCTTCTCCTGAGGAGAATCGAGGCTCGAGATTCGAGCTTTTCTTGTGGTCTCTCTGTGGGATCTTGATAAGGGCTTCATTATATGCTGGCGGGGGCTAGAGGCTGGTACTCCCCTCAGGGCCCGTTTCGATCAGACCCACCCGGTTCGATATCGATTTTCACCGACGCGATCCGGTTCGGAGTCGATTTTGCGACGATCCCAGATGGCGCCGGCGCGAATCGCAACGTGACAGGGGGAGGGGTGGGGGGGGGCCAGGGCTGGTCACGGGCAATATTGCTAATGCTGAGAAGATGCGATCCAGATAGGCGGTCGCCCCCCCTGGATGTTGAGACGAATCCTCATGATGGGCGCGCCGCACCTTGCAGCGCGCAGGGAGATCGCGATGCGGTGCGATCCTCCGGCCATCTTTCTCTGGCCCCATGAGGTTTCAAAGTTTTTGGAGATTCTGAGGAAGAGGAGGAGGAGGAGGAAGGAAACGACAACAACCACGACGACGAGAAAGAGGAGGACATGAAAAAGGATACGCTGAGGGCAAGGACGAGGGCGAGGACGAGAAGGAGAAGAAGGAAGAGGATGACATCGAGTACGAAGACAGAGCCCTAAGACCCGCCTTGGGAGCCCTCTTGGGACTCTGCTGGGGGATTTTAGGGTCCTCTTGGGGCTCGTTTGGCGGGTCTTGGGGACCTTTTTCGGGGCCTGGGGGCACTTTGGGAAAATATTGGGGCCCCAGAAGAGCATCGGAAGCGGCGGGCGAGAAGGCAAACATCATTGACTGTCGTCAGATTTTGAAGGATTTGGGCCTCTTGGGGGGGTCCTGCGGGAGCTCCGAAAGCACTTGGAGCGATCTTGTGACCATCTTGGGGTTTCTTGGAGACATGTCGGAAGCTACCTTGGATCATCTTCGGCTATCTTGAGCCATCTTAGAGCACCGGAGGCCGTCTAGGAACCATCTTAGGCGAAGGGAGACCTTCTGACACCTCGCGTACCATCCAAAAACACCCAGTGAGGGGATCAGTCGCAATTTTGGTGCAAGCTTTGTCAAGAATCTACACGTTTGCCTGCCCGTGCGAACCATCTACTGACGTTCGACCGAACTGAACCGTACTACGGGCGTGCCGTTGCGGGCAGGAGCGTTCTTCTTTTTCCAGCCTTGCGTGCACAGGCGCCTTGCAGACCCAAGGTGACGAGGGGAAAAATAGGGCGTTGTACGTGACGTCGAGTTCCCGAAGATCACCAGACATGTCGATGTGACGGTGGAACACCGGCTCAGGACACTCGGTGGCCCAAGCGCTGAACTGAAAACCGTGGTCTTCGACAACCAGCCGCCCCGGGTGAACGCCTCCGAAATCTTCGAGTCCGACGACATGCAGCACCACGGTCTTCTGAAGTCAGAAGCTCTTGAGTGACCGCGTTGTGAGCCATATTCAATTATGCTATGTTCTCACGGGCTCAGCACCGCTAGCGTTCCGCATCAGTTTTTGGATCACCTTTTTTAATCCGTCCAGATGGACGGTTTCCTGGAGTGGGTGCCCGACCTATCACGACGGGGGACAACAGGCGCGCATGGGGCCATTCTCATTTACGAATGACTTGGTCGGTTAGGAAGCAACCTGATGCAATTGGCGCACGCCACATTCTCAGCGAACTTGTCCGGGTCTAGAGACCATTCCATACGGTGGGTCGATACGAAGGGTGTTCGAGGTACTACAGGGCTTCAGCGTTGAACTGGACGCTAAGTTCGGGCGACGGGTAAATTGCACGGATCAGATTCAGAACGAGATTTAGATTTGGCATTTTGAGTGTAGTGGCATAAAGCGATCCGGCTACACAGGACCATCGTGTGGGATTCGACCAGGTTCGCGTCATCACTGTTCAAGACCGAACGCATCCGTGCTTGGAGCATCCCGCAGCGAAGCAACATGGTTCCATTGCGCAGTCAGCTTCGATAGCAGCAGAAGCGTACACAGTCGTTCCGAACAGGAAAAAACATATAAACACAAAGCGTTTTACTGGTTTTACGGCGGAAGGGGCGCGTTGAGAGGGCACTTGGCACGGATGCGCGGATCGGGGTGGCGTCGGTGCGTTTGCGTGGCAAGTGCGTTTAGTTGGCCGCATTTGTTTTGGAACGCGCGACGGGTGGGGAGGCCGCTCGCCGGCAACTGGCAGCCCTCTGCCCGCGTGCCAGGACATATCGTCGCGCGCTCGCAACGGGGCGCGGGGGGGGGGCTGGGGAGAGAGCGTGGGTCTCCTCCCGAAAAGTCACTTCGATAGGCGGCAAACAGCTTTTTCTCTGTTCGTATGCCGCGCGGCCAACTGAACGAACGAACGGCTGTCTCGGCGCGCAGTGTTGGCTTCGCTTGCGCGCGTCCTGGTTTGCTTCCGTTGCTTCCTTCGCTTCTTTCTCGTCCTCCTCTTTCTTTTCCACCCCCCTCCTTTGCCTTGTCCCGCCCCCCCCCTTCCTTTCCAGCTCGGAGCTGTCATCGCGCGCGAAAATCGCAACCCAAAGGGCGTTGCTGTAATGCCTTCGCGCGCCGCGAAGTCTCGGGTAACTCCATCGTGCACGGACTAGTTACATTCCCAGCGTGGGGGGCACGCAGAGGAATTTCCGCTGCGTGCGATCGTTTTCGAAAGCCCCGCAAGAGCACGCCCGATTCCCTTGCGTGGGGCTCGTTTTCCCGCCTCGAGGAGCGCGCGGGGCCTGGCGCTACAAACGCAAGGCCGCGACGCCCGGCAGTGTGATGCAGCCGCGCCAGATGCCGCGCCCAAAACGATCCTGCGTGGTTTTTGCCACTTATGCCGAAATCGCGCTGGCAGCTGGCCGGCCGCGTCGCCGGCCCTGCATGCCCGCGCGCTACTGCGTTCTGCTGCCGCGACGCGTGCCGCCGTCAACGGATGAACAAATTGACGTTGCATGGTGGTTTGGCTGCGCCAAACCCCATGTCATGTCTGTTGGCGGCGGAGCTTGAGATCTCGTCGCCGCCAACAGCGCTGCCGCACCGTGCCTTTCAACTGCATCTTAGAGCACGGCCGTGCATCAACCCTGGTTCAGATCGCCGGGGACGCAGTGGCACGGGTGCACATGCGTTGCACCGATGGTGGTGCAAAAACCTTTTGTGTGAAACTTATGTTTTGGTGTGTTTTTTTGCTTGCTCCTAGTCGCGCATGCCGATCACTTCTAGTGCAGGGGGATATCTGTTCAGCCCGAATGCGATTATATGCGAACCCCGCACATTCCATGTCAAGCATGTCAAGAACAGCGAGGTACCGTCCTGCCCACTTGGGAGCGGACTCCTAGTATCCCCCCTGGCGTTGCAAAGATCCGGTGTTTTTTTCGAACAGAGTCGATTGGGTGCTCATCTGCCAGACAGAGAGCATCGCCAGAGTTGTCAACCAGCGTGTCTTTTTTATTGCAAGATAATCGGCGGGGCGAGTCGCCTTCTCGCGCTGGCCCATTGGCCAGCTAGCGTCAATGGTGATCGCGCCTGGGCCGAGTCCTGCCCCCCCCTCGGAAAATTCGAAATCTGGGGTGATTTGCTTTATTGGGCCTGTTGCATCAGCTTACGGCAGCCAGCGGCAGTGGCATCTTGCCAGCTTATGACGCCAGTCGGCCGTTGCTTGCGATTCCAGCCCTCGCGCCATTTGCACCCGCAAAACGTTCCCCGCTCGCAGTGCGCCTGCGGGGATAGTGGCTTCTTCTTCCGGTCCACCTGGTGCGCGGCAGCGCCGAGGTGCCTCTCGTCACCCACGGGGCGCCATCGCTGGCTCGGCCAGATCGCCTGTGGGGCCCCTGAGGGCGAGAGGTCGCAGCTTGAAGGAGGAGGCCCGCGCTGCTGCAGAATCTCAGAAGGGCGAGCTCGGCGACGCTGGTCTGCATGATCCCCTCTCTGCCAACTGCCCTTGGGAGTCGGCGCCCCCGCCGGGGGCCGACGGGCACCCGGCCCCGCCCGTCGAGGGCAAGGGCCCAGCGTGCAAGTTCGAGTAGGGTCGTCTCTGCGCCGACCTCATGTCAGGCATCCCCGGGGCCCGTCGCGGCCTCGACCGCGCCTCTGGCCGCGAAGCTCGGCGATGACAGGGGGCGCTGCGAAAGTTCGCTGCGCGGCAGCGGGCCAAGCGCGAGGCCGCCGACCTCCGACTTGAACTCGATGCGCGGCGCAAGCGTTTGGCCGAGGATCTGGCTCGGGTGCAGGCGGTGCCTCGCCGGCGCGAGCAGGCTGCTCCTGCGGCCGACGTGCAGGCGACGCCGCTGGTTCCATTTTCAGAGCGTGAATTACCTACCCCGCTTTCGCTTCCAGGCGAAACCAAGGCATATCCCGCGCCTCCTCGTCAAGCGGCCTGACCAGTGCAGGCCGTAGTTTGGCATCGCTTGGTATCTCTTGGAAGCGAGGGTGGTCAAAAGCGAGGTAGGTTTGTTTGCCTCCTTCATTCGCGAGCCCAGCCGCGCGGTCTCTGCGGCGCCGACGAAGGCGGCGGTCTCGTCGCGCAGTATTCAGTGGGCGGCTCGCCCTTGGCTCGAGGGGCGGGCTTCTAAGGTGATCAGTGGCGCGTCGTCGGTGACTCGCCCTCTCAGCGCCTCGTCGTCGCGTTCAAGGGCGCCCGGGGGCTTGCTGCGCTGCGTGGTGTACCTGGGCATGGGAAGTTTAAATTGCAGGAAGGAGGTAGGAGGAAGTTCGCGGCCTTCACGGTCGAGAACAAACCCGCGGATGCGCATGTCAAACTCGACAAACATGCGCAGCAAGTCCGTCGGGAAGCATCGAGAAAGTATTCGAGGTGGCCAGGGGTGCAGAACGCCCTGGCCGATGGGGGGCCCACCGCGCGCAAGGGGTTGCATTTCGCGCCTCGGCCCCCGCGGCGCGATTTTGCGCCCCCGACGACCCTGCCGCGCCGACGATGCTGGAGTGGAATCAGAGGCTTGTTACTGACGCTGGCTTGGATCAGGACGCTGCGCTCGCTGCATTCAACGACCTGCTCGGGGAATCTGAAAAGTCCAATGAAACATTTAACGATCGCGTTGCCCCGTGGCGGGCGCAGTCAGGGCACATTCGCCCTCTCTCGATTGCAGCGCGGAGCTCGCGCGCTCATCTCTTTCGCGATCCGCAGACGCGGCGGCGCAAGATGAGGTGCCATGGGCAGGTTCTGCAGCTGGGCACGGCGATGGCCCCGCAGGAGTTCCACGCCGCGCTTGTGGGGCAGGAGTGTTGCGAGATTAGCGCCCTTCATTTCTCCTTCTCGTCGTTCTGCGAGCGCGGCGGCGCGGGCGGGGTCGCGATTGCTGGAAATTGTGCCGCGCGCTGCCCCTGGGGTGCGCCAGCGGGCTCGGCTCTGGCGCGAGGCGTTGGCCCCGGGCGAGGGCCTCGAGCATTTGCGCGGCGCCCAGTCGCTCGCGGCCCGCGGTCATCTCTCTCGCGCGCAAGCTCGAGATCTCACGGGCGCAGGCACAGGTGTTGGCGTCAGAATCTCTCGCGGCATCGCGCTGGCGGAGACGGCGCCTGATTGCAGATCTATCGTCCTCCTCGGAGGCTTCAACGTCCTCGCGGCATTGCCCACGCGCCCCGGAGCGCCTGAGATCGACGGGCGCCGGCCCGCGTCTGACGTTGCTACTCGGGCAAACGAGGCAGCTTGGAAGCATATGTTCATTGCATTTGTAGAGGCCGACAGCGAGACGCTTGCCCACCACGTCGCGAATAAGGCGCAGCCAAAGCCCACTCATATTGATCGCAGATTTCGTTCGACGCCTAGTTGGCAAGCTCTGCAGTGGTCCAAATCTGCGTCGGCGCCAGAGTCCCCTGAGACTCCCCTCGAACGCGGCACCCGTGATCATGCCGGTGATCATGCACCTGTCGTCCTGCCTCTTGCAAAGCGGCCTGCGGCGTCTTCGGATGATCTGCAGATCGCTCCTTCTATCTTCCGGGTTCCCGACTATGCGCCGCATGTTTAGAGTCTCTGAACATTGTTGGACTTGTGGCGTCAAACGGTTTTTCTCCTCTTGACGCATCATCAAGTACATCATAAGGGAAGCGGCCCGCATGGTAAGGGGTCGGTTGGTCAAGAGCCCAGTCCCACGAGGCGAAGCTCATGGTCTTCAGGTCTATGGCTTGAGCAGCGTGGAAAGACGATGCCCGCCGCGCGCAGAAGTTCATGGACTCGTCTGACCTTGCTCGATCACATCTTTGTGTTCGGGGAGAAGAGGTCAACTTGCTCGACGCCGTGGCCGTCGCTCGTGCGTTTTCCTTGGAGCGGCAGTCCTTCGCTGAGGAGCGGGATGCTGCGCTGGCCCCCCATGCTGCTCGAGCTGCTGGCCACTCTCTGTGGCCCCTAGCAATGGTCGGCGCACGGCGGCGGGCTCTTCGTCGCAGGTCAGCGCCGCGGGCCCCCTTCGCCCGCTCCCCGAAGCTGCGAGGGGCCAGGCTTCCCGGCGAAGGTGGCGCAGCGGCTGACTCGCACGAAGGCGCGGCGAGTGAGCTCAAGCGTCACTGGGGCCAGATGTTTCAGACGACGACTCGGCGCGGCAATTGGGGCTCTCAGACAGATATGTTGGACATTTCGGCACGTGCTCCGACTTGTTGGATGCGCCCCCCACCTACGGCGCACCAATTGCAGATGGCGGCGGCTCGCGCGAGGGCATCTGCCCCTGGCCCAGACGGCTTACTTCGTGAAGCTCGGCGTTGCCCACCATTGGGCATGCAGATGCTGGAGGAAGTCTCGCTCGCTATTGCTGCTGGCGCCCCCCCCCGCACCTACGGACTGCAATGATCATGTCATGGCGTTTCTCCCCATGCGGAAAGAGGGCGCGGGCGAAGTGAACGTTGCCTTCAGATCTCCAGCAATGACTCGGGCGAAAAGCTCAGATTGCACGTTGGTGGCGAGCGCTGTCAATGCCAAGCTCAAGCGGACAGTGGCGGCTTCTTCCTTTTGGGCTTAAAGAGGGTTCCTTGCTGTATAGAATTTATCGACAACATCACGTTGTTCGACTTTCATGCCCAGGCGCGCGGCTTTCACCATGCTGGTTTCACCCTCTCATGACCCCGTTCGTTTTCGGCGACGCTTTTCCATCGCTGGAGCTCGGTTGGTTGCTCAAGTCTCTCTCCAAGGCCGGGCTGGCTGATGGTGTCCTGGCGCTTGTTGAGTCGCTCTACTGGTTGCCGATGGCACTCATTCTGGCTGCCGGCGGCACTCGCCACTTCCTGTGCAGCACGTGGTCTGTCGCAGGGCCGCCCCTCGAGCGGCGCGTCATTGGCGCTGGCGAGGGGCCCGCTCGCTTTCGCCGTGAAGTCCTTGCTTCGAGGCCACGAGCTGTCCGCCGTTGGCGCCCGCGCCGGCGATGTGGGGGCGGTCTCGCACAGTCGCGCGCCGTTGAAGGGCATGTGGCGCATCTTCCGAGCAGCGGGGGTCCGTGCGGTTTTGCGGGTGAAGTTCAACGCGCGCGCCGTCATCCCGTTGGGGGGGCAGCTCTCGCAGGAGATTGGAGTTTCGTGAGTGGCTGCGTAGTGAGATCCCGTGTTGAATGAACGCGACGATTGCTCCACGCGGCGAATGCTCGGGCGCTGGCGGGCGCCTCGGCGACGGAGCACCGCGTGGAGCAAAGCTGATGCGAAGTGGTCCTTGGCAGCGCTGGAGCTGGCAAAGTCGGGAGCGCCCGCGCACCTCGCCACAAGCTTACGCAACCTTCGCGCGCTGCCTGTTTTGTTGTATTTGCAGCAGCTGTACCCTACGCCTGGCTAGTCGGTCTCGTGAAGTTTGGGCGACGCGCAAAATGTGTCATCTCCTCCCTTAATCTATGGCGCGGGCGGACCTTCTCACTGGGTGGCTGGTCGCAACTACGGCTCGCGACTGTGCTTGCGCGTGGCGCGGCGATTCGTGCGGACGGCGGACCGGACGAACACGAATTGGAGCAATTTGCTGGCGTGGTTGTAGGATCAGACATAGTCTCGCGGCTCCTTGGCAGAAATTGGGAAAGGCGCATTGCCCCCGTCATTCTGGCAGCGTCGCCCAGCCACCACGCACCTCGACGCCGCGGACCGCGACTTCACCCCCAAGAGTCAGCATGCCATGCGTGTTGGAGCTTCGTCTCTGCATCGGCATGCGTAGCTGTCTCGCGAAAAAGTGAGCGAGGCTCGTGCCATTGCCACTGCCCTGTCACCCCAAAGTGAAGTCCAGCGTAGAATGTCCTCCTCGCTCCGAGCCTCCCTCTTCCCCGACTTGTTCCAATGCGCTCTTGAGAAGAGGCTGGAGTCATGGGCTGTCCCCCACCCGAGGGACTCCTGGCCCCCGCTGCGTGCCCTTCTAGAGCCCCTCGCTCCGTCGTGGCGATCGGCGGCGATTCGGACTCTGTGTGGCGGGTGACTCACATCCGCTCGCCCCCACACCCCAGGTGGCGTCAGCAATTGTCGGTTGTTGTGGCGGCGGCCAGGATGCCCTATGTCGGCACTATGGAAGATGTTCGTTGCTGTGGCCATTGTTTTTCGGAGCGGATTCGCCATCTGACTTGGAAGCAAGGCTTGTTCTTGACGGAGCTCCCTGCCATTTGCAAATCGAGGCCATCGCCATGGCTTTTCATTGGTACAATGTGCGTCGAATGTTCGGCCCTTGCCCCCGGAAGGTAGGACTGCCAACATATCACTACCAAATTCGTCGAGCAGCTAAGGCTCTCGCCAACTCCAGCCGTTTGCCCCGGGCCGCCTGGGGACCCTCTGGCGCCCCTAGGTACGAGCGATGTATTCATAGCCTGGGCCCCCCGTGGCCCCCCAGAGCCCCCCCCAGTATGTTGGAGAGTTCCGTGGAGTAGCTGCATCGGCGCGGTAGGTTCGCGTCACGTCGATCGCCGGCGACCCCGCCGCTGGCGTTCAACGTTGAGCGCAGCCGGCTCCCCAGAATCGGTCGATGTTGGACGATCAGACGTTTCGGGAACGGGTGATCGTGCCAGGTTGAACGATCCCCGCGGCCTCAGGAGCCACACCAGGGACGGCACGACGCGCACCTGGCGCACTCGTTTTGGCTTTCGCATCCGAGGCCCTGCAGAGAGCAGTTTTTTTGCCCCGCGGCGGGCGGCGACTGGCCACGAGGCCGCACCGCCGGCGGCCGCATGGCCGGGCCGCGCGATGGTGGTGGGCCAGGACGCGGCAGAGAGCCAGGTGCACGGGGCGGAGCGTGGAGTCCGCGGCGAGCGAGCGGGGGGGGGGTGAGTGAGAAGGAACAGGCGTTCTCAGAAGGCGGCGGTTTTTCTCTCAGAAGCCCGTGCGCGCCTTCGAGAATTGTCTTGTGTCTCCGGGGAAGTCTTCGAACACTTCTCAGAAAGCCGGGGGGCTTCCGAGCCTCCTGGGAAGACCCGCCCTTTCTCACTTCCCCCCTTGGCGCGCCGCCGATAGAGGATGGACAGGACCAGGAGCAGGCCGAGGGGCAGAGGAGCACTATGGCGTACAAGCTTGAAACATATCCGTAAATGTGTGTTTAGGCCGTCAGGTTGGCACCACCTTTTCCCGGTGTCGATTTCGAGAATGCCCCCCTCCCCCCAGTTTCAGAGGACAGATCCCTAGGATGGTCATCGCTTTGGGCTTGTCAATGTCGGGGGTGGGATGGGCTCGAGGCTGGTTAAGGATTGGAAGAGGAGGCAGGAGGTGGCGGAGCGGGAGCAGGGGGGGACGGGGTGGAAAGAGGAGGGGAAGCGGCGGAGCAGGAGGAGGGGGAGAAGGATTCATATACATTGTTATAACACGTGCCATTTTCCTTTTGTGTCGATCCATTCAGGCGCTTGGAATGGAGCCTGTCGCCCCTCTTAGCTGGCATTGGAAGCAGCGTGGCTAGGGGCGGAGTCCAATGATATCTTTGTAAGCAGAAGGGCAGGAGATGCACAGCCCTGCCTTTGGCCAGCGACAAGACAATCCGAGCCTCACAGCGCAAAGAAAATGCATGAATCTACACATCCGCGAGACAGGCCTCCTGGATCTCTCGACCACCTTCACACCGTTTTCGGATTCCGAGCAGTGGATGGCCCAGTGGCCTAGCAACACACGCCTCCACGGCCCAAACCAGCGAACAAACCGGCCGATTCGGTTTTTGTTTGACACGTTGGATCGTTTGGGCCTACAGTTTCAAGTCTGGGATGAGGTCCACTGGCGATGCGAAAGTGACTCGAGGTTCCTGAAGTCCCTCGACATGTGTTTCCACGGTGCTCTCCTTGCCCCTCCTGACACAAGTGATCGATAGAGAACCAACGGCATCAATCTATAATTTTTCGGAGGTCCGCGCGGCGCCTCCAGCGCCGCCCTTGGGCCCATCTGGCGGCGCCTCCAGCGCCGCCCCTGGCGCGCTCCGCGCGCCGGAGAGGGAGGTCCAGCGTCGACCCATGAGATCTGCTCGGCTCTCCGATAGTTTATATGCATATGCAATTGTTGTTGTTGTACCTGTATCCTCGAGCGCCTCCGGACTCAAGTGAGGCCCCAACGGGGGTTTTCGCTTCCTCTCCAGGAATCCTCGCGGCAAAACTCGATGGTCCCCAGGACGTACGTGACGTACGTGAGCCGAATGCGTGCTCCCCCTCGCGGAATTAAATAAACATGAAGGGAGGTGTTTGGCGAGTTTCGGTTCCTGAGGAGGCCCTCAGCGAGCCCTGGGACCGTCAACAGAACGACTCAGAAAGAAAAAACATGTCTTGGGGAGTGGGTCGAGATCTTTGGGTGTCGACGTTGTGAAACAAGTCATTACGTCGGGGGTCTGGGTTCGGCTCCACCGAAAGCACGCAGCTCGCGTCGGCCCTCATCACACCTCCCGCGTCGTGCTGAAGGGCTGGGACGGGGTTAGAACCGTTCCAAAGCGTTCCGGAACGCTCTGAGAGCGTTCCGGAGTGCTCTCGCCAGGCCGCGGCGCCCGACACGTCTTCCAAGACCGCCAGATCTCAGAGATCCAATCCGTAAGAAGGGTTTTTCCTTGGAAAAGGCGTGGGCCCAGGGTTCTATTTTAGTTGGTTAATCCCCGGCCTCGATTTGCGTAGGGCCAGCAACATGTTCCTGCGATAGAAGCGAGGTGGCGTAGGGCCAGCGAATTAAACAATTGAGGATGTCCCGAACAAAACGTTTTTAAATTCCGATCGATAAAACACATGGTAAAGCACATTTTCGTTTGTTGTGGATGTCTCGAGCGAAGCGCTTGTTTTGCAGAATTTGTTGAGGAAGTGTCGAGCGAAACGCTTGTTTTGAATTATATAGTATTTCTCTCCTGGGGGCCAGATTTCAGAGTAAATCTCAGGTCAGATACTTGTTTTCACGTGCCCTGAATGCCCAGGCGGCTGTCTAACATGAACATGGGTTGAGGTTGCCCCGAGCAAACCGCCTGTTTCCACGTGTCCAGGTCGCCCGGGCGGATGTTTAACATGAGGATGCGTTGAGGATGTGTTGAGCGAGACGCTTGTTTTCACGTCCAGGACGCCCAGGCGGATGTCTAGCATGAGGAGGTGTTGAGAACGTCTCGAGCGAGACTCCTGGTTTCACGTGTCCAGGTCGCCCAGGCGGATGTCTAACATGAGGATGTGTTGAAGAAGTCTCGAGCGAGACGCTTGTTTTCGCGTGTCCAGGTCGCCCAGGCGGATGTCTAACATGAAGATGCGTTGCGAGCGGAAGGCTTGTCGCAGTAGAGTGCATCGCAGTTCAACCCCGCGACGTTCCTTGCGACGTTCTTGCGACATTCTGGCGTGACATGTCCTGGTGGCACGTCCCATAAGACGCCACGGCGTGGCACGTTCCCTGTTTCGTCCTCAGTCGCAGTTCCTGGCTCGTCCCCAGGCGTTTCCGCTGCCCGTTCTGTGTCGCGTCCCTTGTAATATCCCTTGACATGACGTCCTTTGGCTGTCCCATGGCGCGCGTCTTGGCACGTCCCGTGGCAGGTCCCCTGCACGTCCCCTGATACGTCCCCGGACACACCCCCTGGCGCATCCCCTATTGCGCCCCTGGCACATCCCGTGGCGCGTCCGTGAGCCTGTGCCCCGTGTCGTGTCGTTCCTTTTCGGAGCTGAGTCTGATTGTGAGGTCGAATTGATTGAACGTCCCGCACGTTTCCGCTTCAACTAGCTCTGGGGCAGCTACTATGTGCTCAGGCAGCTCGAGCTTAAGATCCAGACCATTTTGGTCAGGACTCGGATGCAACGGAGTACTCGACCCACAACGCCATAGAGCACAATCGCGGTATGGCACATCGCAATTCAGCACGGCGCAGCACGGTACATCAATATCGATACGTTCAGTATTGCAATTCCCCGTCGCCCAATCAGGTGTCTTGAAAACGTTGCCATGCCTCACATTTCTATGTTCCTTTCCGAGTTCGTGAGTCGATCATGTTGAAGGCGGATCTGCCTACACAGATAATGCATACTATGTAAGAACATGTTTTTTTGCAGGCAGATCTGCCTTAAAAAATGCTCTTACAGTGTAGACCAGTTATTCCTGGAAAGGGCTCCGGCCCAGGGTTCTCTTTTAGTTGGTTTCCCCCCCCGGCCCCTATGGGAGGTGGGCCGGCGGAGTTATCCTGCGATAAATTACGAGGTAAAGTGTGAATTTTCAGTTGAACGCGTGCGTTTTTCGCGCGCCCGCTCGAGGAAAGTTTGCCCTCCATCTCGGATCCTCGATAGATAAGGGAGTCCGCAGACCACCGTTTCCCTTAGTAAAAAAGAGGGTACGGCGCGTTTTTAGCCGAATTGTTGTATTCATGTTCCCGGAAAGGGCGGGGTCCCAGGGTTCTCTTTTAGTTTTGTAATCCCCCCGGTGCCAACTTCTGTAGGGCCGGTGGATTTCCGCTCGATAAAGAATGAGGTACAGTCCAATTCGGCGTGAAACTAATGCGTTTCGCGCGTGCCCTCTCGAGGAAAGTAGACCCCCCATCCCGGATCCTCGATAAATAGCTGTGTCCGCGGCCTCCCGTTGTCCTTGATTGTAAAAACGAGGTGAAGTCGAATTCGGTGCGGAAAGGGAGTTTCGCGCGTGCCCGCTCAAGGAAAATCGACCCCCCTTTTCGGATCCTCTATAAATAACGAGGTCCGCGGACCCCGTCTTCCTCTATAAAAAACAAGGTAAGGTCCGATTCGGCGCGGAAAGCGTGCAAATATGGCCTTTTTGTCTGCCTGGTCGAGGATGGCGAGCCCCCCGCGCCAAAAATTTGAGGATATCTCGAGCGAAACGCTTTTTTTGCAGAACTTGAGGGACCTGGTCGCCCCAGCATGCCCCGGGAGGCACGCGGCGTAATCTACGAGGGATCGTGGCGTTTCGAGCGCGGACCACGCGTAATTTGCGAGGGATCGTGGCCCTCGGAGCGCGGGCGCAGCGTAATTTAAAAGGGGTCGGGGCCTTGGGAGCTCGGACGCAATTTAATTTACAAGGGATCGTCGCCCTTGGAGCGCGAGCGCAGCGTAAAATACGAGGGATCGGGGCCCTGGCGGCTCGGACGCAGCGTAATTTACAAGGGATCGTTGCCCTGGGACCGCGGACGCAGTGTAATTTACAAGGGGTCGGGGCCCTGGAGCGCGACCCCAATATAATTTACAAGGGATCGTGGCCCTGGGAGCGCGGACGCAGGGTAATCTACCAGGGATCGTGGCCCTGGGAGCGCGACCCCAGTGCAATTTACGAGGGATAGCGGCAGTGAAAGCGCGGACCCTGGGTAATTTGCAAAGGATCGTGGCCCTTGGAGTGCGGGCGCAGCGTAATTTACAAGGGGTCGGGGGGAGCGCGACCCCAGTGTAATCTACGAGGGATCGTTGCCCTGGGAGCGCGGGCGCAGTGTGAATTGTTAAGGTTCGTGGTCCTAGGAATGCGGACGCAGCGTAATTTATGAGGGGTCGTGACAGCTGGAGCGGGGGCGCAGCGTGATTTCGGACCTCGTCTCGGTTGGTACTGCTTCGGTTCGTCCTGTCTCAGTTCGTCGTGTCTCGGTGTGCCGCGTTTCGGTCCGTCCTTGTTCGGTGCGTTCCGTTTTTCCCGGAAAGGGCATAGGCCCAGGGTTCTCTTTTCCTATGTAAACATGTCCCCGGTGCCCAACTTGAAGGAGGCCGGCGGATTCTTTCCCTGATAAATATCGAGGTCGAAGGAGGCCGGCGGATTAAAATTTGAGGATGTCTCAGGCGAAACGCTTGTTTTTGAAATCCCGATCC